CGCCGCATCTGTCGCGCTTTGCGTCTACCGCTTTGCGTCTCCGCTTTGCATCTCATCTCCTGCTGCTGCCAACTACATTGCGACATCTCCTGGCCCTGCACGCTGTATCTATCTTTCGCTAAATAAACTATCTTTTTCACATCAATCTGTGTTCTCGTAAGCTTGAGTCTCCCTTCCTCTCGAACCCGGACACCGACGAGCCGATCCGAGTGTCGAGCGAGGTGATCACGTCACAACATATACAATACGGTGGTATATATACAATTGGTTATTAAAAAATGTATATAATACTGTATCAATAAAATAATTTTCATTAGCTATAAAACTTATGAAACTATGTTTCATGATTTCACTTTCCATCCAAGCTACATACATAATCGTTGTACGTGAAAAGTTTCACGTGAAATGTCAAGGTGTGAAAAATGAAAAATAAAAAGTGAAAAATGAAAAGTGAAAAATTTCACATAAAGTTACATGATATAATACATATAATACTTATATGTTTATTCCTTTTATTGTTCCTTTAAATAATATTAATTTATAATTAAATTTATGTTTATCACTTATTTTCACTTCTTGTACATAATGCGTCAGTCTTGTTTTTGTATATAATTATATAATAGCACGTAACAAATTATTTAAATGATTTGAAAAAAAATCTTGATCATTTATATGTTTTTTTAATTCGGAAAAAATATTATTACCTATAAAATTATTATTATTATCTTAATATTATTTGTAAATTTACTACATTAAATTGATCTAACGTTTTATGTATATGTACTTATATAAGTAGTTAATGCTTTTTCTATATTCTTACATATGTTAGATTTTTTTGATGGATATAATAATAATCCTCTGTTTTTAATATTTATTAAATTACAATTAATATCTGTACTTTATTCCATTAATGTTTCAACACATTTAGAACAACGTAAAGTTTTTGTAAGTTTTCTTAATATATATCCAGTTATGTAAGTAACTTTATTTTTATATTCTGTAGCAAAAAACGGATATTGTGTATATAAAATATAATCATCAGTTGTGTGAAAAATATTAAACCAATTTTGATTTTAATTTATATCATTTATAATATTAATCGGATTATGTGTTGATGGCATATGCAATATAGGAAATAGGTTTTTTAAAGGCATACAGTTTCGGGAACGTCCCAGATGCACAGATTTTCAATCGGATACATCACTCACATCAGCTGATGCCTAGGAATTTTCTAGTAAGCCACCTATCAAAAATTTTTTTATTTAATCGGCAATGTGTCTGATTGGACCTTACCCATTATTATATCCGCCATGTGAACGTATATTACTAAATAATAATTCTAAACGATCCTGGCTAATCGTATACATTGGAGTATATTTTAATAGATCATTATCAACGCAAGTTGATTTGTACAGATTGAAAGATATCTATTAGATTCGGAAAAAATTAACGGAGACCGACTGGATTTGAACTCGGGATCCCTCGTCTACCAATCCGACACTTAATCTGCACGACCACGACGGCTCCTCTCTGTTAGCTATTTATATTCCGAATCTCTTTCATGACCGCTTACGGTCGTCTAATTCTTACAGCTCGGCCATTCTGGTATTACATTCGTCCCGAATATACCGAGTCTTCCTCTATCGGACTTTTATCCGAAACTTGGAGTTTCTGCTCCCGACTTCGATCACTTCTTGAACGACCGACACGACTTTGGAGTACTACTCCGCGACTTTTTCCGTTCACTTTTGAACGACCGACACGACATTGGAGTACTACTCCCCGACTTTTTCCGTTCACTTTTGAACGATCGACCTGTCAGGTAACATC